AATGATAATACATACTCACATCATTCTTTACGGACTTCAGTAAGTTCCTCTATCGTGAAGCTTTCTTTACTTTCTCACTAAAAAAAAATCAAAAATAAATGTTAATAAACAAGAATATAATTTAGCTTTTTATTTTTTTTTAAGATATAATGACTTTATGAAATTTATACTAACATTGAATGATGTGGTTATAAAATCATATAAAATTATCTCTCAAATAAAACGAAGGACATAATATCCATATTCAGTATTTTCAAGTTGACGAGATACTTGAAAATTAAATTGAGTGAGTTTAGGAAATATTTATCTACCCAAACTCAACATAAAAGAATAAATTTCACATTTACAGGTAATGACACCAATTTTTTTTGCCTTCTTATCGAATGCAGATATTACCCTAAATTGAAAAAAAATTACTTATGAAGAAACAAAAGATATATAATATAATAATATATAATACCTCTTTTATAAAAGTTTGAATTTCATAGTTAGGCATCATCGTTGGTTAAGCTGAATTAAGTAAATATAGCGTTAAGGATTTGGTATCAATCACAATAAGCACCCAATGATGACTATAAAATAATAAAAATAATATACTCAGATTAGGCATCATATTAGATTCAGATAATGTTGGAATAATTATTTGTATGAATATAACTTACTGCACATTATACGAGAACAAATAATAATTAGTCAATTTTTTCATGCATTCAATCACATGATTAGCATGAAAAATAACTATGTCACTCTACTCACTAATGAAGTTGGGGTCAACGAATTTAAATCTGTGAGTCAACTATCTCGCCTTGACCTCTCTATATAGGAAGCTGCACAATAACAATCAATAATACTAGTTAGTATTACCTTATAATATAGATTAATTAATACATATTGAGTGTGCATATTTGTATTTATAAACTAACCTCATATAAATAATAATATCTACAGCTGATATTTCATCTAGTTCATAAAATTCTTTAACGTCATCCACACCAATGTAAGAAAATGATAGTTTATCAGATAACCGATCAAGTGAATAATTAAATAACTCATCCATGGTAGCCTGAGCAAGGGTCATACTTTGAGTCCCAACATCCTGCTATAATACATAATGAAATATAAGTATTAAAACTAAATCAATAAATATAATAAACAAATTAATAGTAAACTTATAAACAAAATCATATTTCATGGCTAGTAACGAAGGTTGGGTTCTCTGCCTGACTTGCAACGAAAGTTTGTCTTACGTAGACGATGCTATCTGATTGGCCTACAGGCATGCTATACTGCATTGCTGCCAACATGACCTCCAAAGCAGCGAGTCTTTCCTGTTGCTCATTGAGGCATTGCTCCTAGTCATCAAGTCATTGCTACTGTTGCTCAATGATTACTTCTTATTGTGCATTTATCATTCACGAGGTTTTAGGTTGATTAGTAAAAAACTTTGATGGTAACAAAAATTTATCAATCTCACGAACTCGACAAGGCCTTTTTTATAGCTTCTAATGCTAAAGACAGTGGATCTTCGTCATACTGGGTAGCTCATCGGATTTAACTTTGGTAAGATAATCATCTTGAAAGATAATAATAAGATGAATTGTAACAACAAATCTATACAAGCTAGTATAAAATCATGCTTACAACCACAATGTCAATCATACATGATTTTAAACAAACAGTTATACATATAATCTTTTTAGCCATTTTTTTTAGTTACTTCATCAGTAAAGGATCATCATTTTACAGATGTCCTTATTTTTAGACATCTTATTTAGAAACTTCAATGTCAGAGCTTACTGATTCTTATTAAATTACCGTAATATAAGAATCAGAATCTATATATAAAGGATTACAAAAGCTATATCTATATATATATATTGAAAGACAAAGGATTAGAGAGAGAGAAAGTGTAAGAGAGAGGGTGTGTGGAATTAGACGACTGAAAGTTCTACCTAAAACTTTACAATGAACCTCCTTAAATAGAAAAATTATATCTTATGAACAGTAATCTGTACAGTTGCCCGCTACAGTGTACAGTAAAATTTTTTATCTATAGTACCGTTACAGTGACTGCTACAGTGTCTTTCGTAATAGGTCTCTGTCTTTTTCTGTTATAGTGATTGCTACAGTGATGTTTTATCTTTTGCTACAGTGACTGCTACAGTGTTTCTGTCTGCTAGTCGTTAGCGTCGAATGAAGTTTTATCCTTTTGTGTCAGCTGTTTGTTCTGGCTTATTCTGGGTTAAAATTTGCACAGTTTATCCTTCCATAGCATTGGTTAGGTTATGGAATTCTTCATCCAGTTCGTTAAGGGACTAGGGTGAGTGTGAAGAATCTGAATGTGATTTGTTCCACAGCTGCCATCCTTCCTGATACTGATATAGGAGATCAGTTGGATGATCCAGATCTTTCATTTTAGATAGTTTATCCAAAAGTTCTATTGCTTCTGGGGCCGATGGTGATATATTTGTTTGACTCGTATGTTCCATTGGTTTTCTTTGATTTTCTACAAAAGAAAAAAATTACATCAATCACATATGAAGATATTGAATATATTGCATAAAATATTATAAACAATTTTTTTGGTAATGGGTTTACGTACTAAAAAATCTTCTGATAGTCGATCTCAATCAAAATTTTTTCAATCTTCAATACTTATTACATCTGCATATGACATAGGTGGAACAATCAATACATCACCTTGATTAGCTTGCGATAAAATATATTGAATTGTCAATCTGCTTTTAAAGTCTCTAAATATTTTTTCAGCAGATTACAACACAATCTTTTTATAGTCAACTGAGACGTTGAATCATTCATAAATAATTTAACACAATTAGTATGAACACATTGAATTTCAATTAAATGATCATTGAACAAATTTTACGAAATAGTTGAATAAACATATCACAACCGACTGCTATATACCATTGTTTAGATCATCAAGAACTCGTCGCCAATTGGTGTACGTAATTGAAATGTTAATACGAACTACGGTACCAATATGAGTAGCCAACTTGACAATTTTTTTAGACACAGGTTGTCTACTTTGATTGAAGTCAACATCAATTTTTGTGTCACTCACTTTAATTTGTTTATTTCGTCCATTTCTTTTTCTTCTTTGGCCTATAAGTGTGTCGTATACATGTTCAGTAGAAGGAGAATTATGTTATTCGGAGTTCATAATATCTGTAATTTTGATCATAATTATACGAAATATACCAAAATAACTATTTAAATTTAACATTGTACGTAATTAAATACAACTAATACCATATTACGTACAAAAACACCATTTAGCAAACCAATCAGCAATGTGTTCAGAAACACAATTCAGCAAACCATTTAGAAACACCATTTAGCAAACTATTCAGCAAACCATTCAACATACCAATATCATACAATAACATTCAACAAAATAATATCATATAATATCATTTAGTAAACCACAATATTTAAAGAAAACTTCATAGAAACAGGTACATGCAATGAAAGGTGCTTGGATGACTATGGTTACGATGAAATGAATAAAAATATACAAGCATATGTAAATAGTAAGGAACAAAAAAAAAACCTCTATCGAATAATATAAATAATACAGTAAACAAAAAAATAAGGATATACTATTAAATAGAGAGGTGCACGCCGTTGAGTAGTTGAAGGTCGGTGGTGATGATAGAGATAAAAAAAACCAAAAGTCTGATAGAAATATGTTTATGGGTTTGGTTTGATTTGGTTGATTAATGTAGCTTTTAATCGTTCTCTGTACTAGCAATTTATGATTCCGATGTTCAAGACAAGGGAATGAATATAAAAATTATAAGTGTAGGTGTTTTTTGAAAAAAAACACCTCCAATAATTTTCATATTAGCGATGTTTTTCTGATACAAATGACACTAAATTAGTGGCATTTCAAATATACAAACGCCACAATATAGTAGCATTTTATAGAAAACGTCACTATTTTTTGTGACGCATTTATAGTCGACACTCTGACTAATGTTTTTTGTAAATACCGCAAATCTTTTAATGGCGTTTATAAACACCGCTAAACATTGAAAAAAATATCACTAAAAACCTAAACCTCTATAGTAATGTTTATACAAATAAGCATATTCATGGATAGTTATATATGTACAAAGAGACTTCTACTTAATTATAAATAAAACTTTTTTAGTTTTTGGAAGATATAAGATCAAAAATATCATTTACATTGAATATTTTGCACATGAAACAAAAGCCAGAAAAAACCTCAAAAGTTTTTTTATAGCCAAATCAAATAATTCTATTCTTATGCTGAGAATACTCAACAGATTGATTTCATCAATTCAAAACGCAGTCAATCATTAAGTTTCCTTGTATTTTTAATACAAAACACAATCAATCATTGGGTTTTACTATATTTTTTAAATTTCTCATCAGTAACTCCTTTACAACCAATTAATTAATTTGTGGGACAAATAAAATCTTAAGAAAAATGGCACTATTACATGTCTTGAAATCTTTTCTTAATTTTTCATGATTTTCTAAACACCAAGTTCTAACTATAATTCCAATTCAAAGCAAAAATCATATTAAAATGATTTACTTATAACATAAAATTTAAAGTTACCTAAAACTAATCCGAATTTAAGACATTTCAAACTACAAATCAAATCGAACTCAAAACAAGATGATCCGTTTGGCCCTTAGCCACTCCTAATTGTGGCATTATTGTCCGAGTCGGACCCTTCTATGGACGCGAGTGGGCTGGCGTATGTATGTTTTCCAGCCTAAGCAAAAAAAAAATTTAACAGTTATAGAGTGAATTAGAAATAAGGTGAAGGTTTGAAAGCAACTTCATCTTTTGCCACTGATGTCTGCCAGCCTTAATGCTGAATTCGTCATTTTGGTTACAGATATATATATATATATATATATATATATATTCTTGTTACATATGTATATATATATAAAAGTGATCTCAAGGAGTATTTCCAAAAAAAAAAAAAGCAATCTCATATTAAATTAGACCATCCGATAGAACAGAGACAAATAGCAAATAGGAAGGAAATTTCATGGTCATATATACCAATGAATAAAGGTAAAGTACAACAATAAGCAGACATTCAGCACTCATCCATTATATGCCTCCCTTATCACCCCTAAAATACGTTCTGCTATGTCAGGCCCAAACAATCTTGGAAAGCTTGAGCCGATATCAATCTGAATGGTCTTGTTCTTAATCAAACCATCCCTCTTTTCCAAATATGACTTTTCTGCCTCATCCACATTTCTCTGTCCACAAGCACATTGATCCAACCATATCCCTATTGCTTCTTTTGCCACAGGATCCACATGATCCTTTATGATCTCCTCTATGCGTCCTGGTCTGGCGCCCTCTGTATCAACACAGATCATAATTGATGTGGGAGAGGTGAGACATCGAATGTAAAGAGCTGAAGAGTAGTAGGGTCGAACTTCCGGGAGTTTATCCAGCGTTTGCCTAAGTGAGTCCAATTGGGTGTTCTCGTAGAAAGTTTGAAGGTATTCTGGATGTAGGACTAAGTCCTTTCGAGGGGGCAAATCCAGAATGAGAACAAGCGATGTAGGGCTACTCTGTATGAGCTCAATAAGGAAATTTGGTGCATCTGTGGAAGCCTTGAGATATGCTGAAAGGCTTGTTATGTTCAGTGCTCCACCTGTTGGCAGCTCACAGTGTAACCAACTTCCTAGAATAAAATCAACCTGAAACACCAGAAATTCCAAATATTCAGAATCTAGAAAAGGCGATATTAAACAATAAGTTCTAAATCAGGCTCATTGTCAAAATCCAATCAAACCAAAAATGTAACTACCCAATTAATATCCTGTGCGGTACAACTTTATCAGATTCCAGTTTGTTGTTTGCAACATTTATTCACAGCTAATTTCATCTAAAGTAAAACAATATTAGTTCCCAAAGAGACAACACTGAGAAGCACAACACCAGTCCTTCAAGTTAGCAAAAGAGATATCAGATGACCAATTTGCTGATAAATGAAGCAATATATATAGTATTAGAAAAATGAAAACAGAAGTGTTGTGGTGCTGAATATTTTCTGTAACGGCAGTGACATTGCAGTGTCACTGAAGAGGAAGAACTTATGCACCTTCACAATTTAACAGGAAAAGTTCAATGTTCAAACACATTGCTAGTCCAAACTCCAGATTAGAACGTCATTAGAAAGTATTTTCACAGCCTCCAGCCCGGCATTTAGAAGAGATACCTAGGCCCTTGCCGAGAGAGCCAACAGTTCAAATAGGAAACAGCAAAGATTGCTGTTTTGATTCCACGATTCGATTTATAAACCATAAAGGATATCCTTAATCAACCTCTAACTTTCTGCATCAACGAACAGCTTGGGGAAATTTAAGCCTCTAAAAAGAGGTGTTTGGTGCCTGGGGGTATTACCTGCAGCATTCCGGGAGAAAAGAACCATCTAAAATTTCAACCCGAAGACGAGCAGGACGCAGCATACACACAACTAGGAAGTAGGAAGAGCATAAAAACACACAAAAGCACTTCCAAATTCATTTTATATATTAATATTGGCACACATGTATGTGTGTGCATCAGGGAATAGGATCTTCATAAAATGAAATAGGCAAGCTAACAACCATCATCGAATTATATGAGAAAATTTTGCAAGGTTGAGTGAAATGGCTGTTAGCTCAGGCCCTTTGAAACATTAGTTCTCAAGTCTAAGATTAGATGCTTCCGGTAACCCTAAAAGCTAAACACAGGCTAGTCTGAATGGACTAACAACACAAAAGCCCAATATACAACCACAAACCATTATGCAACAACATTTGCATCCAAAACAATATCACTTCAACTTCACTATAATAGTGTGTAATAATGTATATAACATAAACGATTTTACGTATTCTTTGTCGTTCTCCTGACTTGACTAAAGCTTTGAACACCTCTTATGACCGATAAACCATTTTACGTTAGAAGTAAAAAAATTGTTGCTTTCAGTTTCTGGGGTTCAAAATTTTGACATAAAATAATTTAAAATTTTCTATATAAGAAGTTTCAGCATGTTGAAGTTCAAGTTGCAGAAACTCGGCCACTTGGGCCTAAAAGATTTAGGTATGGAACCTAAATTAATCAACAATTCAACATGCTACCTTTACAATAACAACTTGAGCAGTGGTTAATCATTAAAGAGATACACTTTCCACTCAATTGCATGTCAATGTGAGCTCAGTACTCTTATACAGAATTCTTTTTCTGCTAAAACAGAGTTTAATTGAGAAGTTTTCAACTCAGGTGAGCTTAATAAAATTAAAAAAGTCAGAAATTCAAGACTACCCCAGATACTAAGTCTTAATTATCTAACTTTTTTATTACCAATTCCAGAGATAACTCAATTGACCAACTTTCCTTGCTTCTACAGTATAGTAGGTTCCATGCATTAAACAATAAATTAAATAACCAAATAATTAAAAAAAATGAAATAAAAAAAGTTAAAGACAGGAAGCTATACCTGGGAAGAGCTATGGCCTGATCTGATATGAAGTGAGCCCTGGGAGGTCCCACTTTGATTGTAGTAATGTTGTACATCAAGAGGTAGAGTGCATGGTTTGAGCTGAGACCCTAGACGATTCTCCACCGTTGATACGAGATCAATCATCAAGTTTCTATGTGGGGCAGTGACAAATGGAAAATCCATGAACTTTTTGGGGGTGTTGTCCATGGGAGATGATGCTGGTGAAGAGGACGCTAGAGATGCAAAATTTTGAGGTCTGGGTGAAGGTGGACTGAAAGCAGGGAGAAGGCAAGAAGAAGAAGAAGAAGAAGACCAAAATGAAGGAGGTGGGGAGTTCAGAAAGTGTCGGAAGAGGACAGCCATCAGTTCATCAAAGTAAAACTTGCTGGCAGTAGAAATATTTGTTAGATTTTTTTTTTTTTAAAGTTGTCGTGGACCACATAAGTTCTTCTTATTTACATGGGTAGCCATGCATGTTTCTTCTCAATCAATATCCAAGCATAATACGATTCATCTGATCTCTTAAAGCATGTAACTTTCTTGAATAAAAACTAAAAAAAAAAAAAGAATAAAATTTCAGAGAGAGGGAGAGAGATTCGATGACAAAAAAGATTAAGTTATGCAAGAAAGTCCTTTTGATCCAGTCCTATTCATTAGGAGACCATCAACATCATGGTTCTGCATTTCGAATCTATAAACAACCAAAATTTGTATTTGACAAAAAAAAAAAATGAACGTGTAAAAATGCTTTCATCTCATTAGCTTTTTTAATCACTTCAGTCAAATGTATTATACCGACCTTTGAAATCTGTACGCAACCAAATTTTGAAAATTTTTAAATATCTAGTGCAATAATTTTTTTTTGGATTTTTTTAGTTATAGAATGCTAAAAAATTAAGAGCTACTAATGGAAAATATAAGCTGCCATGTTTTTGAGCTGCTTTGCATCAGAAGAACACTGTGACAAAAGCTTCCAACCTTTCTAAATTTCTATTCCATGGTCGGTTACTTTTTTTTTCTTTTTCAATTTCCTGCTTAATTATACTGTTAATATTTTCTTATTACCGGTACTATTTACTAGGCTTATTTTATTCATGGTGTTTAGTTATATAAGCTTGGTATTTTGAATTTCTATAACCTTCTATTTCAAGTTTGATATTATAAGAGCTCAAATTTACTTTTATCTTTTTTTTTTAATTTATTAGGTGATAGTTTCATTTAAATGGGAACAATACCACTTAAGTGAAGTCGTGTTATCCTCATCCTTTAGATTTTAAATTTTTTGTGATATTATATTTAAATTAAATATTTTATCAATAACCATTTAGTTTTTGATTGAATATTCAAGAAGTCATATATAAGTAAATTTTATTATGTCCAAAGTTACAATAAATTGATATAAAGAAAAGCGAAATTAAGAATATAAACTATATCTTAAGATTAGGATTATACATACATAAAATATAAAATAATTAGATAATAAAAATATTATTAAACTTACAACATTTTTCTTATTTTATGGTATTTATATATGATTGATATATCAAAAATGATTCCAAATTATTGATTGGGAACTAAAGTGAACATTTGTGCGTCGTTAACAAAATAGTGGATAATGTGCAAACCAATAAGTCCAACTTGGCCTAACATTTTACTTTTGCTACTTTCTTCATGTTATAATAATATAATAATATGACTGAAGAAATTAAAACCCCAAAATCAACAACAATAATAATATTAAAACAACCACATGTTTGTAAAGTTCTTGATGAGACTTGAGAGAATGGCAAAGACCCATTTGCCTTCGATCTTGGCCTCCCGCAATTGCTGACTAACGTCACCCACCTAATTGTACAACGAAAAAGAAATCATAAAAATACAAATCCATCCTTATTATTGTTTTCTAAAATACAACAACCAGCATGAAGTTTCTTGATATCCTGTCGACCGTTGATTAGTTAAATGCAAACTTTGCCGCTCTTCATCACCAAAGGCACGTGGCGAAAATCTACGGTCTTCATCTCCTTAGCGCGTGGCCCACCGTACATGATTTTCTCCTCGCGGGCCCTCTTTTTTTCCGCCCCTTTCAACCAAACCCCAAACAGTTTCAAACTTCCATTACCTTCTTGGCTGCCTTTCTCTTCATCATCATCGTTATCATGATCATCAAGATCATCAGCACCATAGCTACGGACACGATCATCGCAATCATGGGTGGACCCACGGCTTCCTTGCCGCATGATGCGATTGATCTGCTCGGGCCCCACCTCCACGCATTCAGTTAAAAACGTGATCAGCTCGTCGCATTGCTTCTTCGCCTGCGCCAGCTCCGAGCTCAACATCTCGTTATCCTTTTTCAATTTCTCATTCTCATCTGACAAATCAGCAAATTGATTCATGCCAACCGGCGTCGTTTCCACCGATCCCGGATTCTTAGAGTCCGGTGATGTCGACGTGGAAGTGGAACCTAGGTCCTCTCCAGAGTTACTAGGGGAGGAAGGTCCAGCACCAGAGGTTTTCCTGTTCGCCGGAGTATTAGCCGGCGATGATGTCACCGTCTTCCGACGACGGATTTCCGACAAGAGCTCTTTTTGCCCTCGCTTGAAGTTCTCGTTCGCGAACTCCCATTTGTCTGGAACAACCTTTCGAAATCCCTTTAAAAAAAACAACAAATTTTTAAGAAAAATACTTTCGTACAATTACTAGAAAAGGCAAAAGACGATCATGGCCCTCACCAAAATTTGTTGTTAGAAACCAATTGCTAAAACTTTTTTTTATCTTGAAAAGAAAATTTGTTAAAAATTTTAGTTTTTTTAGATAAAAAAATGTCAGTAATTGAATGATAATGAATTAATCTCTTTAATTAGTTCACCAATCCCCACCATAATCCCAGACTATTATTCAATCAATAGATAATTTTTTAAACTGTCCAATAAATTTTCTTTCTTCCAACAGAAAAAAAAATCTAAAGACATATAATTACTTACCCATCTTTTTCGCTCACCAAAAAAAGTTAGGAAAAAATAAGTGTACCATATTAACTATGCAATTACTCTGTATTTAGAAAATTACAAAATTTTGGGAACTTACGTAAGTATTGAGCTGACGGACGAAGCTAGAAAAGTTGTTGTGCTTGAAGTATTTGGGAAGCAAATCCTTAGCAAAATCAGCAGTTTTCCAAACGACAAATGATGTTCCGTTTTCATTCCATGAAATCACGTCGTCGGTGATCGGATCATCCACCAGCTGGTACGTTTTGGTCAAGAACGGCGCCGGAACTGACCTTTGCGCCATTTCAATCCTTTTCTCTCCGATTCCCCCTCCCCCAAATACGTAAAAAGAAAGAAAGAAAGAAATAAAATATTTCTAACAAAGAGTTATATATTATTACAAGATCAGAAACAAAAGTAGAACAAATAAACCTGGTTAAAGATGATTGGGTTTGGTTTTAGGCAGAACAACTAAAGAGAAGAAGAGCGGTCAAGAATTCCCAACCCCAGCAATAGAACCCAGAGAGGAAGAAGCGAGAGTGAACGAGGTTGTCACAACGTTTACTTGTATCAGTTTCCATGAGTTAACAAAACGAACTCTCTGGTTTTTGGAATCTAAACAAGACCATAACTTTTTTAACCAGAGCTTCTGAAATAAGAAAAAACAAAGACACAGACTACTTCCTTTTCTTTCTGTTTCTTTTTTTTTTTTTTTTTTGTGAATTCTTGTACGTGACTTCTTATAAAGGGAGGAGGAGGGGGACGAAGATGTTGAAAGCCAAAAGAAACGGATATTGGGTTCTAGAAATTTTGAGAAACAGAGGAGGCGCCCTCAGGGTTAAAATAAAGAAAATCAAAGGAGGCTTCCACTAGATTCAGTCCTTTCTTTCAAAGAGATAAGAGAGAGAACGAAGAATAAGAAATCATGAGAGAGAGAAAGACTTTTCTAATGGGGATGGTGGGGAGTGTTTTTCTTGGTCGTTTCTTGGAAGGAAGCTTCTACTACATTTCCATAGAGTTGATTTAGGAAGGGAAGAGAGGGATTTCATATGAACGCGTGCATTTCACCGTTTTTAATTTTTCCAAGCCGAAGAAGATGCTTGGCGATGCTTTATTCAACAAGTACATTTTTTCCCCTCAGCTCCCACCTAACACCCTCCAATTTTATATTTTCTGATTGCCTCCTTCCATCGCCGTTAATATCATTCGCAGAACTACTATTCCTTTTTTGTAATTTATTTTTAAAGTAATTTAGGGAAAAAGCAGAAGTACTATTCTGCTTAATTTCATAAATGAAATAATTACGTAAAATTGGAGCAAGAATTGGAGAAAAAAATTTGTATGAAGAAAATGATCGGGAAAAATGACAAAGGAATACCGAATTCGACAATGACAAATTTATAATGAGTTAATTATTTTCTTCTTTTGTGGAAATATATTAGAATTGCAATAGGTGTTGGTTCAAACAAGAGTTAATTTAGTGAATTTATATGGAAATTCAAAACACTTTAAAAATTTTAAGAAAGAATTATCTTAATTTGACTAAAATTTTGATAAAATTAATAAACCTGAAATGCTTTTTAACAAAAAAAATTGATGAACTTCATACATGTTTTTCTCAAGGGAAAAAGTTTTAATTTAAAAGATCTAGATTGAGTTAACTAGAAACTTGCATTGTAATTCTTTATTGTCCTTTTTTTTAAAAGTGAAAACAATATCAACATATCATCCAAATTTGACTAGAGAAAATAACTTAATCTATTTTCCAATAATTAGTAATGAGCTAATTCCCATATTTTACAAGTAAATTAAATTATGACAATTAGGTGTTATTTTGTTTCTTCTCACCACAAGAGAACTGAATTTTTGAAAAAAAAAAATCTTTTTTCATTTTTTTCTTGATTTTTTTTTCAAAGAAAAAAAAATATGGCCTCGATGAATTTTTCTTTTTGATAATAGAGACCATAATTAGATATTTGCTTTAAAGCAAAAGGCAATTGGCGAAAGAACATAAGTTTAATCTACCTCCAAACTAATTAAACATCGTAAAATTATACTCTACTTAAAGTAGTAGTAAATGACGGGATAAACAAGAGTCACAATCATAAGGTTCCTAGTTAATCCCCCTAGTTTAAACCTTGTAGCTGGTTAATCCCGTTTTGTTCTACACATAATCTTATTTAATTAAGTAAATGACATGATGAATTTAAGATTTAATTCAAATAATTCATTCATCTTTTTTAAAAAGTGAATTATTGGCTGGTACGTTAAAATTTGACTTTTAATACTTGTAATTTTATTTAATTTTATTAAATTTTAACTTTTTTTATATATAAAAAAAGCAGATGACATGATAAGTATAATTAAGCATGTTAAATTTTAAATACATTGTAAGTATATATGATATATTTGAAAATCTTGTTTTTATTAAAAAAATTATTATAATAAATTAAATACAGAAAACAAAGGATTTTATCCGGTTCCTTTGATTTTGTGTTCAATTAATTTTTTTTTTTTTATGAATCTTTTCACCCAAAAATATAGATAAAATCATAAAAATATTTGGTTTTAACACGTACATAAATATATATATATATATATTTCTGACAAAATGATGCAAATCTACCAGTCGAGAATATTCTTCTTGATCTAGTTTTTCCACCGAACAAACGCGTGTGTCAGTGTAGGCGGCTGACCACCCAGCTTAGGTTAGGTAATGCAGAGACCAAACATTTTGCATTTTCTTCTCTTCTGCTCCAATTCGTCGTTCTCCAAAAAAAAAGCAAAAAAAACATTTAAGCCAATAATTATTTGGTCAAACAGAAACCTTAGGGGTAAAAAAAACAGTGAAATTATGTAAGAAATTAAGAATGATCTCGCCAACCCTTTTAGTACTTAACCTGCTGTCTAAATCGTGCCTCCTTTCCTGATAATTTACGTCAGCCGTACTTTTTTTTTTCTCAAAGGATATGTTGTTGACTTCGTGTTGCTTTCATTATCAACAGGCCTAAGCCATAAATATTCCCACATAATACTACGTCATGAATTTGAGGTTTCTAGTGAAGATATTTTTATTAGAAAGGGTTTTACTTAAGAGTTAAGAGTAAATTAGTTTTAATATTTATTACAGTTCATATAGACTTTCAAGTTTTTTTTTTTTTTTTTGAATTTAGCATAAAAAGTTCAATTAACAAATAATTATTTTCTTTCTAGCACCGAAAAATTAAACTCCAAAATGTGAATCTCCGTTTTTTCATTTTGACCATACTCAATTGTACTTATCAAAAGAAATAACTAAAAAGAAAATAAGAAACTTAAAAAGGTTAATTAATCTCGGTATTCTACCAGGATTGCGTAGGCATTCTTGATTTTTTGTGTAATTTTTTATTATTAATAATTTCAATTTTTAATTTTTAAATATGAAAATTTTTAAAAATATTTTATATTCATTAATTTCGTCAATTAATATTAATTATATTACAAAATTTACCATCTCAATCTTACGTGGCCAAAAAACAAATGAACTCGGTTTATTTTTTAATTGAAATTTATACACATGAACATTTTCGAGGTACGGACGTGATATATTTCATTAAAATTTGAAAGATTGATAATGAAATAAATTAATTTGAAATATTTTTAAAAGAATGTTGATTGAAATATAAAATTTTTAAAATTATGACAAAAAAAATATTACATCAAAATTACATATGATTGATGCATCTTATTTCATTGCAATATAAACACAAGTAAAAGATAGTACTATACAAACTATCCTCGAAGACGTGAAATTTGATTGTGGGGATGTCAGCTGGAAGAAGTTCATTGGCCATCTCGAGTCCGTTTTCAAAACATGATCATGGCCACGGCTGTAGTATGACTTGTTCACAGGCCAAAAATTAAATAATAAAAAACATTGGCTTTTGTTTTCGTCACTATATATTTTTTACTTTGACAAGTTCTGTTGGATTGCGTGGTGTGGACGATCAAGTCCTCTCCAAATAACGTGATAGCACAAACGTTGGAATTTGATCACCGATCATTCTGACTTTCTCATCCACTTCTCTTTGTCTTTCTCTACTGTTGGTTCTTTTTCTTAGTCAAACTTCGGCTAATAAGGTCGAAACGTTTTAAAAATTGCGCTAGAGAGAGAGAGATCTGTGGAATTTCATATCCAAATATTACCCCAAAAAAAAATTAAAGAAATTATTAACCAATTCAGGCCTAAGCCATGCCCAAGAAGTTTGAGAAATGCTACTACGTCCGATATTTTATAAGGATTTTTTTTCTCATCTTTTTTTACAAAAAAATCAGAACCCACAATTAAAAAAATTATAAATATTAAAATTTAAATGTCATTCTTATTAAATTTTAATTTTAAAAAATTATATTAATCAATTAAAATAAATTTTAATATCCTTTACATTCAAGGTCTAAGTTTATATAAATTTAAAGGTTGGATGAAGGCTTAATTAAATTAATTCAATATTTTCTTAACTTCTTGTACTAAATTTCCACAATGTGGAGTAACGTTCCAAAATGATCACTTTTACATGTGGACAAACATCAGCATCCTTATTTGGAAAAAATGGATAAATCCATGTTTCTAGTCTTCTTCCTTTGGGGAATTCTCTAAACCAAAGTTAATATTAATGGCAGTCATTTTCAATTTTCGCCATTAACAACCCTGCCCATTACTCAAGCAAGCATCAGCATAATCATGACTGGCATAAACAACCTTATTTTTAAAGTAATGTCACTTTTTTTTTTTTTTGGTTTCTCTTCGCTTTTAATAAATTGATAATTGTCAAAGACGTAAGCATAATAAATAAACCAATGGCATGAAATTCTCTAAGTCCAAATTAAACTTCCAATAAACCCGGTTGATAAAATCAACCTATTCACACAGGGAATAATATTAGCCATTAGTCAGTAACATAAACAACGAATGGCTAATGATCAGTTGTCTAACATATTTAAACATAATGAAAATAGAATAAACCTTATTCATATTCTTGGACCTCTTCTGTTTTTGAGTCAACCATAATTAGAACTTAATTTAAAACATAAATAACAATTTTGCGAGTAAAATTCATTGGTACGTAATCTACTTTCTTGTTTTTATAAATGTGTCATTTTCTTTCATGAATTAAAAGATTTAGATTTATAATCCGTGATATTTTTCACAAATAATATCCATAGGTAACAATCAAAATAGTTAAGAAAAAAGTCAATGCAAGATCATTGGCTAATCTATGTGACCTGATACAAACAAGTGGCATGGGTCACATGTTTTAAATTTATTAATGGGTGATATTTCTCTTGCACGCACTTCTTAATGAACCATGTCACAAGTTCAAAACTCGAGAGATGAGAGGTGAAACTTGCATAGAAATTTTTGTTAATTGATTGATTATTGATTGACAAAAGAATGGATGATTGTGAAACCTTTTAAAATGTCGCCAATGGTAAATTTAAAATTTTTAGGTTATGGATAAAAATAATAAATGTAGAAAAATAATGAATTAACAGTGAATTTTACTCTAATTTTGCTTATGATAAATATTTTTTACAGTAAAAGGGAGAGGAAAATAGATTTATGAGTAATTAATTAGGATTTCGTTAGAAATCTAGGGGCTTGACTTTAAACCATTTTGCTTCACTCTTTCAAAGGCTGTTTTCTTTCAACAAAATAATAATAATAAAAAAAGAGGGTGTTTTCGGCTGTTCCACGCTGAAATAAACAAAGGCGTTGTTCTTATAAAGTCTGCATGTGGACCAACGTGACTGCAAAAAATGTAGAATTTCTGTTGTGTTTTTGTTTCTCTTTCACACATTCATTTCCTTTGTCTTCTTTCGACCAAGTTGAAGCCGGCCATCATATAGGAGTTTTCTAGGAAAGTTAAAACTACACTTAGCCATAGACACGCCTTTGAACGATAGAAATAGAACA